AAACTAAGTCATACCGTAACATAAATGGTTTAATGTTTTTATGGACAAAACTTAATAATAAAAACAAATTAATTTGAACATTGTAATAAGTGTGTTTTATTTCCAATTTTGAAACGGTTTGAAAATTATATAAATAAAAAATGTATCTAATGGGTCGATTACGGATGGCAACCATAGTTTAGTTGCGTTGCCAAATTTGCATTATGGATGGCAACTGTTGTCAACTTCACTTGCTTCAATTAGAATTTTTCGGCAACCATTTATTTCTGGTTGCTGTTTATAATAACTGAACTTTGTATGCTTCCCATAATGGTTAATACTACTACAAAAGAACAATTTGCCCGGATGGAAGCTCACCCAAATGTAGCACGCGGCGTGCGGACTTTTGGTCAAACCTAAGCCACTATCGATGATGTGTGGAAGGCCATTTCAGAAAGCCTTAACTGATATGGCCCACCAACACGCATTCCAAATGAATGGCAGAAAGTGGCGAACATCTTCTTTTGGGTCCATGATATGTACGTGTGTATAATCAATAACTCCGAACTTAGTTTTCGAATAAAAAAATTTTATTCTTCCCTTTTTCCTCCTCCATTAATTTGGATACAATCAACATTTTACACAGTTTATCATCTATTAGCGGGATAACTTCGGCGAAAACCACCGACATTGTCGGTTGAGCCATGCCAATGTTGAAGTCATTGCTATGGGACTTTTGAAAACTTCCCTCCACAAAAAACATCAGAGCTTCACACATTTTTAAGAGAGGATGAATTGCTGTTGACCGCCAGTCTTTTCGGAAATCAGGGTTTAAAGCTTCATCTATGTACACAACGGCATCTTCTGGTAGTCGAAAATACGCCTTCAAGCTAATATGAGCAGTTGATTGAACATTTCTCTAAACGTCAGCATCTACTCACAGAACTGATGAGTTGTAATAGATTTATCTCTTAAGTGCCTCCTAATAAATGACACACCTTGAACATAATTTTTATCATCAAAAAATGGTTCCACTGAGCTTATCATCACATATATTTTATTCATCATCTGAAATATTTTATTCATTTTTTTGTTTGTTTACAATATTTCTAGTTGTAGAAATGTCAAAACAGTATTATCGACAGCAACTGAGAAAAGTTGATATCCATCATGCTAAGTTTTATTTCAATTGCGTTGCCAGTTGAACTCGCAACTGGAGTTTGGTTGCTTTCCATAATCGACCCATAAATCTAATAAAAATATTCATAATGTGAAAGCTTATGATGGTAGAAAAAAACCCTAGCAGGGTTTTGAATTATTACCTAAGGTTTTTGTTTAAACCGGATTCTAATGGGTCGATTATGGAAAGCAACCAAACTCCAGTTGTGATTTCAACTAACAACGCAACTGAAATAAAACTTAACATTATGAATATCAACTTTTCTCAGTTACCTTCGATAAAACTGTTTTGACATTTTTGCAAATAGAATTATTGTAAACAAACAAAAAATTGAATAGAAAATTTTAGAAAAATTAATTTTATGTGATGATAAGCTCATTGGAACTATTTTTTGATGATGAAAACGATGTGCAAGGCGTATCATCTATTAGAAGGCATTTAAGAGGTAAATCCAATCCATTAGAACTATCATCCGTACTCTGAGTAGATGTTTATGTTTAGAGAAATGCTCAATCCAACTGCTCATTTTAGCTTTAAGGCGTATTTTTTGGCTACCAAAATATGCCGTTGTATACTTAGTTAATAGTGGAAAAACTGTGTAAAATGTGGATTGTTTTCAAATTAACAGAGGAGGAAAAGGGGAAGAATTAAATTTTTGTTATTTGAAAACAAATTTTCCAGATGTTGTCGGATGTATAGGTGGGATACACGTACATATCATGGTCCCAAAAAAGGTGTTCACCATTTTGTAGTAATTTTAACCATTATTCCAACCAAATTTCAGTTCTTATTGCTAAACACGACTAAACAGCAACCATAAATAAATGGTTGCCGAAAAAATTATATTTGAAGCAAGTGAAGTTGCCATCCATAATTCAAATTTGGCAACTGGCAACGCGACTAAACTATGGTTACCACCCATAAGTTACACTTCGGATGAAACTATATATGGGAGCTATATCTAAATCGGAACCGATTCCAAATAGACTTGACACACGGTAGGTTATAGTAACTTTCGTACGTTGTGCAAAATGTTGTCCCAATAGGCTTAACTCTAGGTGTTTGGTGTACCATTTACATTAAATCGGACGAAAAATATATGGGAACTTTATCTAAATCTGAGCCAATTTACACGAAACTTAGCACACATCATTCCGATTTTTAGGAAACATAGCACACATCATTCTAGTCTCAATTCAGCACGCTATGCAAAATTTCGTGCAAATCGAAAAATATATAGGGTCTTTGGTGCACAATTTACATTAAATAGGACGAAAATGTATATGGGAGATATACTAATTTCACGAAATTTGGCACACATAATTCTAGGCCTAGGTTGTGCCAAATTTCGTGAAGATAAAAAGGATCTGTGGTATACCATTTACCTAAAATCGGACGAACATATATATGGGAGCTATACCTACATCTGAACCGATCTTCAAGAAACTTAGCACACATCATTTTAGACTCCATTTAGTACGCTATGCCAAATTTAGTGCAAATCGAAAGTCCAATTTAATGTAAATTGGTGCACCATTTACATTGAATCGGACGAAAATGTATATGGGAGATATATCTAAATCTGAACCGATTTTCATGAAACTTAACACACATCATTTTAGTTTTATTTCAGTACGCTATGTAAAATTACGTGCAAATCGAAAGATATATAGGGACTTTGGTCCACCATTTACATTAAATAGGACGAAAATGTATATGGGAGCTACATCTAAATTTCAACCGGTTTTCGCGAAACTTAGCACACATCATTCTAGACTCAATTCAGTACGCTCTGCCAAATTTCGTACAAATCGAAGGATATATAGGATCTTTGGTGAACAATTTGCATTAAATCGGGCGTGTTAACCAGGAATCTGATATCTAGTTTGACGCGGATATTGTCGGCGGAGTGATAGCAGTATCAGTATGTGGCAATAGAAAACTCCTATCTTATTCTTGCGTAAAAAATATTAAAACAAAATAATCTCTTATCTCAAGTGGACTGTAGACAAAAATAGATCCCTGTTTAACTAAATGTTCTCTCTTTTACACAAGAGACCCTCAGCAAGAAATTCACTCTCTTTATTTAATGAAAACCATGTTCGCTACGTGAACAGGGAGAAAATATGCAGGGGGGCTATATCTAAAACTAAACCGAAACGTAGCACACGATAATTCAGTACGCTGTGCCAAATTTCGTGCAAATCGAAAGATATATGGTATAGGTACATTGGTGCACCATTTATTGTAAATCCTACGAAAATATATATGGGAGCTATATCTAAATCTGAACTGATTTTTCGAAGTTTCAATAGGGTTCGTCCTTTGGCCAAATAAATGACCTGTGCCAAATTTCATCTAAATTGAATCATAAATGCGACTTGTACTTTATTTACAATTTAACATGGACAGACGATTCTATGCAGATTCTCAAAAGACTGTTACAAACATATGCACAAAAACATAATACCCTGTACCACAGTGTGGTGAAGGGTAAAAAAGGCACATCGGGCAAAAAACACAAATTTTCGAAGTTTCGTTTTTATGATTTTTCGGAGTGGGTTTAGAGATTGCTATATGACAGGAAGATAGTCAAAGGAAAAACAAACAACTCTTCCTAAAAATCCGTTTGGATTGGATTACATTTTAAGTTACGGTTTCTCTGTTAGAATGTCATTCGTACATGCATGATACAAGTGTTGTTATAGGGGTTCTCTCTTGCAGCGTTGAGCCTCTCTCTTTTATTCTAGGTCATGAAAATTGCTCCTTACGTGTTCGGGTAAGATCTTCATGTATATGGTCCACTGTTGTCATAAGGAGGCATCCTTGTGGTCAGAATTTGTGCACCATCGACCATGATATTCTGCGGGTGCTTCATGTCGGCTTTCCATGTGGTGAACAGTGTGGATTTAGTGGCCGATATCTGAATATTCCTCAGATGAAAGAACTGTGATGTATCAGCTACATACACATTCAGCTACATACACAATGGGACCCGACGCCATGATCCTACAATGATCCGCATACATTACGATATATCTGGTTGAAGAATTTAAGAATGGTAAGGTTTCCCGAGATATGACCCCTCCTGGGGTTATTAATTTTTTTTCGTTTCGGCTTATTGTTTTTAAATGCTACACAAGTATTACCGATTAACCTCTCCAGACTTCAAAAACAATTAAATTGACAGTACACTTGTGAAATACCATTACCATTTAGACTAGATCCGGGACCAAAATTTGGATGATTTAGCGTTTCGAATGACATCTCCAACACCATCCTTTGTAAATAGTCGTGTTCCCTTCTCTGCTCGGAGGGCATTTATACGAAGTAACACCATCCGTTTCGAGTAGTCACCCATGAGGAGCTCTAAAAACTGTAGTTTGGATCTGTCATCCTTCTCTCAAGGATTCTAGAGTGACTTAACCCTTGTCCACAATTTACTTGTTCCCCCTCCGTTCATATTTCAGAGCTTCAGGTTATCATATTCGGGGCGTTGTACAACATCATGCCGTGTTCGGTGATGTGTTTGATGTGGAGGAGACTGCATAACTGTCTCATAATTCGACGAAGACGTTGATGGCGAGGATACTGACGACACGCTGCGAAATGTGTTAACGAAGTACACCCATCCCACCCATGCATTGCTTCTCACCGGTACAAAACGAAAGTCCGGGGCTACTTTCTATCCCGGTGCGGACCAAAGAGGTTCGGAGCAGACATCCCGATTACTTATGTTATATTTTTTATTTGTGAGACCATGTTGTCCCATAGAAGTAGCTAGGGATTTTTAAAAACACACTTATATGACACTCCCATATTTGGGAGTAATAACGTGAAACTATGACATCTATTTACGGAAAATGAAACCTTAAATTGCAGATTTGAAAGAAGCATTCAAATATTTAAATATTTTTCGTGCAACATTATTATCGACAAACAGCATTATCACAGTGGTGAATGCGGTTCCCAAATATATGTGAACACCCTGTCACATACAATTGGTATTTCGTATGTACTGTACACCACATACAAGGTATTGATTGTGCATCTTCATTTTGTTCAATATTTATCCAACAGATGGAGCTGGTGCTGACAACAAAAGCATGGCAAAGACATAAAAGTATAAAGATAGGACAATCGATACGTCCACAATTTCCAATAGATGGCTTTTCCTCTGTTGTTACGATATCATAACAACAGAGAGAACAATATTAAACGTTGTTAATGCTATATCTTAAGTTTATTAAATAAAAAAATATTTTTTGAGTGCAGATCTCTGATTTTATTTACATTTTATACACAAATTTTCGCGTATTTGCGTTTTTATTGTTAACATGCCTCTGTTATGCCTGATTCCCCCTGGATATTTTTTCATTAACTATTTTGCCAAAATGCATTTTGTCGAGTCTTTACGGTTTCTATGTCTTTGAGCATGGTTAGCAAAGAATTTTATGTATGGGCAAATAAAAAAAATTGGATGGTTTAGAAGGATTGTCAACAATATCACATGATTACAATTCTATGTATGAAGGATTTCTAAAATTTTGCCATTTTTCCAAATATTTCTTCTCTCGTCGAATTTCATTTTCTGTGCTATCTCGATATGTTTTTATACCACAAAAAGCCGAATTGGCATGGTCCAATAATGTCATTGACTATTATTGGCTTCAGTCGTTCACACATCACGCTGGATAGCACTTTATATACCATGGGAAGGAGACTTATTCCTCTATAGTTGGAATATAACCAAAGACATAAAAGTATAAAGATAGGACAATCGATACGTCAACAATTTCCAATAGATGGCTTTTCCTCTGTTGTTACGATATCATAACAACAGACCGAACAATATTAAACGTTTTAATCGCTATATAGCAAGCTTATAAAATAAAAATATATATTTTATGTGCTGATCTCTGATTTTATTTCCATTTTATGCACACATTTTAGCGTATTAGCGTTTTTATTCTTAACATGCCTCTGTTATACCTGATACCCCCTGGATATTTTTTCATAAACTATTTTGTCAAAATGCATTTTGTCGAGTCTTTACGTTTTCTATGTCTTTGATATAACGTCTTGCCTCGTTTTTTGTGCACAGGACACATAATGCCGAGGTTCCAATCATTGGTCATGCATTCCTTTAGCCAAATTGTACTAATCAGCTTGTGCATGCTCGTGATCAGCATCAGATCACCAGTCTTGAATAATTCGGCTGGGAATCCATCGGCACCTCCTGCTTTATTGTTCATTAGCCGACTAATTGCTACTCTGACCTCATCTTGGCTAGGTGGTATACAATATATACCGGCATCTCTTATTGGTTGTGGGGTATCTTCTTCACCGCCACTATTTAATACCAGAAGCTTTTCCTAATACTCGTCCCAGATCCTCAAAACGCAATCTGTATCTGTCACCAGGTTTTCATCTTCATCCCTCGTTGGTAAAATTTTCGGACTTCATTCTGACGTAAAGCTGACATCTCGATTTGCTCACGCTCACGTTTTTCTTTCTAAAAATACGTTTCTCCTGTCTCATTTTCTCTCGATAATTCTCCATCGCATTATCTGTTGCTACTGTCTGCAGGGTAGCCCTATACGCCGTTTTTTCACATCAGTAACATTACAATTCTGATCGTACCATGGGTTTCTTGATGGTGGTTTGCAATACCTCGATATACTCACCGACGACCCCATAAATATTCTTGATACGAATGAAATTCTATGCCAATTTAGTCATGTCGTTCTGCTGACATCACGAAAGTCGTCGCAATAATTTAGATAGATGTTTGAAATTTTGCACAAACAATGCTACTAATCCTACGATGTTCGATCTAGTTTCTCGTTAGGCCCTATATACCTATACCTCACATTATTCGGTATTTTGAAGATTTTCGGAAAATTTGGAATTTTGTGAGAACATTTTTCTGCATTAAATTATAAAAATTGATCCATTTTTAAAAGAATTGTAGGAAATATTTGTTCTATCCCAGTGTTTATACCCTTCACCACACTGTGGTACAGGGTATTATGTCTTTGTGCATATGTTTGTAACAGGCAAAAGGATACTCGATAGACACATGGTTCCTTTTCAGAATATGCATATAATCACTTTCTAAGTCGATTTATGCATGTCCGTCCGTCCTTCTGTCTGTCCATGTTAAATTGTGAACAAAGTACAGGTCGCATTTATTATTCGAATTGGATGAAATTTGGCACAGCTCATTCATTTGGCCCAAGGACGAACCCTATTGAAATTGGGAAAAATCGGTTCAGATTTAGATATAGCTCCCATATATATTTTCTTTCGATTTAAGGTAAATGGTGCACCCAAGACCCTATATATCTTTCGATTTGCACGAAATTTGGCACAGAGTTTTGAATTTGGTCTGGGGTCATGTCTGCCAAGTTTCGTGGAAATCGGTTCAGATTCGGATATAGCTCACATACATATTCTCGTCCGATTTTGTGTAAAAGGTGTACCAAAGCTTCTACATTTCTATCGGTTTGCACGAAATTTGTATATCATACTGAATTAAGTCCAGAATGATGTGTGTTAAATTTCGTGAAAATTGGATAAGATTTAGATATAGCTCCCATATATATTTTCTTCCGATTTAAGGTAAATGGTGTGCCAAAGTCCCTATATACCGTTCGATTTGCACGGAATTTGACATAGCGTAATGACTTAAGTCTAGAATGATGTGTGTTAGTTTTCCTGAAAATGCAGATTTAGAAATATCTGCCACATATATATTTTCGTCCGATTTTAGGTAAATGGTGCACCAAACTCCTCCGATTGACACGACATTTTGCTCAACGTATTCAATTGAGACTAATTGATTGCGTCTTTTTTGTAATGGGTGCAGACATAGCTTCCATATATATTTCGAACGGGTGTCTGATTGATATTATCGAATAGTGTGTATCAAGTGTGCTATAAATCGATTTACCTAAATTTGTCCCATTGAAATTTAGCATAGGTTGCAGAAAATCATGTATATGGATTGATGTTAGTCGGTTCATTTATTGAATTAAAAAATGTAGAATATACCCAAAGTGGTGAAGAGTATCAGCCCGACTTTACTTCTTTCATTACTGGTTTTTTAATAGTAGAACTAGTAAAAGGGAAACATGTCAAAATCGTTCTTAGAGTACCAAATCATAGACTAATGAAAATATAGACGACGAAATGCTCTCACCAGTCCTCTCTCAATTGAGGCTGCTGAATGCACTACTCAATTTTAAATGCTGATTTACTTCAATATTTGAACCTTTTAATTTAGAATGCCACTAAACATAGTTAGTTTTAAGCAAAAAATATATCCTCAGGTAAAAACATTGAAGAAAAATAGGCCATTTCCCCCAAAAAACGTCTTCAAAAATTTATGAGTTTTTTGTTTTGAGTCACTTGACCGCGCATTTTTTGAGTATTTCATCGTCTATATCTTCATTAGTCTATGACCAAATCATACGAAAAATTCTGAGTATCTTTAGTTAGGTGTTTCGTTTTCCCTTGGCAACAATTTACCATGGTGGTGTAGCCACCAAGTATAAAAGTCCTGATCAATTTTTGGTATTTTGAATATCCACCAAATGGGGCAGAGTATATTAAGCTCGATTCGATCTTATTAAAGGTTCAATGTTCATTTCTCCTTTTTTAAATTTTAAAAAGTGCCTGTAAATATTCCATATTTTGTTGAGTCTTATACCACGTGAGTACCCATCTGAGTATTTGTAGTTTTTTTTGGTATTTTGAATATCCACCTCATGGAGCAGGGAATAGCAAGTACGTCTAGTTGTTTTTAGCAGGATCAGTGTTGTTCCGTGTTATTGCAGTCCTTTTCATGTAAATTCCTTTATTTTATGTTTCGCCTTATAATGTTGATGCAGTCCTATGCTGTGGTTGTCATAAACACTTGTGGTAAAATGTCAGTATCAGGCAGTAACAAAAATAGCAACAACAAAATTACAAAATTGTAGTAGAATTACAAGTTTTACGTTCCATTTGGAAATGACAAAAACAGTTCTAAGAAACAACTGTGTTAACATTGATTCTCTCCTACCTAAGAGTGACCTCTGAGGACAAAATACTCAAAAATATTCTTTTAGATTTATTTTACTTGGAAGCCTATATCAAAGAGATTGCATATACATTTTCTTTTTTTAACAATATTTGTTTACACATATAATAAAAATATAAATATATTTTTATTTGGATTTGCTGGAAATGATCAACATAACATAAATTGTCGGTATAAATAATTTATGCAAAAATTAATATAGTGAAGAAACAAACAAATGTATCCATAATCTAAAATGTTAGCTTTGGTATATACTGAACTATTCACCATTGGTTCATCAATGTGCGGTAGTGATTTTGAAATTTTACATTTCACCTGAAAATTAAATTGATTTAAAATATTTTTTTTTTAATTTTTGGCTTTTAAAGCTCAGGCAAACCTTAACAACTTCATGCATTATTCCCATGGAAAATGATCGGAATAATTTCGCGGGCTTTAAACCACACAACATGGCTGCCTTTGTGTAATGACAATTGATAATGTCATTATAATATCTAGGAAAAATATTGAATATTTGAACGATATTTAAATGCAATTATGAAACAAATATATACATATCACTCACTTGCTGCAAGGCCGGCATAAATGAAAAAAATTGATTTTGCAGAAAATTCTGTTTATGCTTTACACACACACACACTTAATGGGGAACAGAGAAACTTTAACAGCTTGCCATTCAAAGCGTATAAGAGCAATTGATCCAAATATTTATTGTTTACACAACATGAAGTCTGACATAGCGAATAATTCTGCATCATTAACTCAAAAATCACAATTTTTGTTTTATGCCGGTCTACAGAAAATAAGCGATATATACTAAACCTACTGACAAACCACATCCTCATTTGTTTTCTCAAACCAATCTGGCGGACCTTCGCATTCAATCAAATCTTCGTGAAGTTCTTGTAAACAATCCTGGTAATTCGTTAGATCTAAAAGAAAAATAATGTATTATCTAATAGATATAAAATAGAACAAGTAAAAAGTCCTTTAGTTCGGTTGGGCCGAGACCTCCACCATGAGGTGTGCAATCTAAGTACCAAAAATCGACGGGTCCCACATATGGGGCCTATGTCAATATCTGACAGAAGTTTTCTTTAGTCTTATGTGGGAAAACGAAATAAAAACATACAGAAGCACAGGTTGCAAAATAGGCTTAGTCCTTTAGAATAATGAATATGGGATGGATCTTTGTCAAGTTGTGTTTTATACTCCAAAAATCCAATCCACCTCCTAATAGCCATATTGCTTGGTTAGAGCCAAGAAAGTACTTAAAATGGAATGTAGTCTATATGATGGCATTGTCAAAATATGGAACTACATATCGTCATCATAAATGCAAACGGGCGTAACTACAGAAAAATTCGAAAGTGGCGTTTTGTTTGATTATTGTTCGTTTAACCAAACTACATGTTCACACAAAATTTTGGACATCTAACATCAAAAACAGTGATCTCATTTTAATTCAAACGGACGTAACTACAATAGTATGTTTATACCCTTCTGTACCACACTGTGGTACAGGGTATTATGTCTTTGTGCATATGTTTGTAACAGACAAAAGGAAACGAGATAGACACATGGTTCCTTTTGAGAATATGCATAGAATCACTTTCTGAGTCTGTTAAATTGTCCCTGTTAAATTGTAAACAAAGTACAGGTCACATTTATGATCCGAATTGGATGAAATTTAACACAGACCACTTATTCGGCCCAAGGACGAACCCTATTGAAATTGGGAAAATTGGTTCAGATTTAGATATAGCTCCCATATGTATATTTGGCCGATTTAATGTAAACAGTCCCTATATATCTTCCGATTTGCACGAAATTTGGTATAGCCTGATGTGTGTTAAGTTTCCTGAAAATCGGTCAAGATTTAGATATAGCTCCCATATATATTTTTGTCCGATTTAATGTAAATGGTACAACAAAGTCCGTATATATTTGTCGATTTACACGAAATTTGGTGGACAGACATACTCGACTCGAAATTTCGTAACTTTAAAATTTTGGAAAATATTTTTGAGCAACTTTCTGCCGAGAGTGTCTGGTGAAAAATATTCTTGAAGAACAAACACACTCAACACATCGCTCATTTGCTGCAAGACGGGCATAATACCAAAATCGTTATTTTTTAGTTAATGAGGCAGAATTGTTCCCTATATCAGACTTCATATTGTGTAAAAAATTCAGATGATTATATCATACACACTCTAATTGAGAAGCTGTAGAAGTTCCTCTGTCCCATATAAAGTGTGAGTAAATTGACAACTTAAAACGCATTTTCTGCAAAATCGATTTTTTTTGTTTTATGCCGGTCTTGCAGCAAATGAGATATATATATATAACCCCAAATTTTGAAAAGCTTTTTTGAACAAAGTCTGGTGGACAGACACACACACAAGCTTAAATTAATAAAATTTATAACCTTAAAATATTGAACTATTTTTTATGTTCTGTGCAGATGTATGAACATATGTATGCCAGTTTCGTAAAACGCGGAAGATATTTTTATATCCTCAGCCTTATGGCTAATGAGGGTATATACACTATGATACTTTGATATTGATTTAAGGTCCCATGTTTCTTGGGACCAAATCCGTTTCAGAAAATTTGGAGTCGATTTGCAAATGTCCGTTCGTCCGTTGTCCGCCTGGCCGTCGATTTCATCCAAACTTTGCACATCTTAATATTTCTTCTTCAAGTTCGAAGATAGGGAATATCGGTTCACTCCTTCCCCCACTAAATTGCCAAAATTGTGCAAAAATTAATTCTATAATATTATGCGAACGAACTATCCGATTTTAACCAAACTTTATACAACGTATTATCTTTACGAAGCTTAGATCAAGGAGAAGGATGGGATCCATTGGTCCGCTCCTTCTGAATATCCCCCACAAATGGTCAACATTTTCAATATTTATAAATACAACATCAAAAGAATGGAATATCCGATTTGAACCAAACTTTGCAAAACCTTTTAATTATTTATTATTATTAGCACCTCCCCCACAAATGGTCAAAATTTTCAATATTTATAAATACAATATTATGAGAATGGAATGTCCTATTTTAGAAGATGGGATCTGCCCTCTCCTTCTGGTACCTCCCCCACAAATGGTCAACATTTTCAATACTTATAAATACAATATCAAGGGATTGGAATGTTCTATTTGAAACAAACTTTGCACAACCTATTATCTCTACCAAGGCTAGATAAGGTCCGAATATGAAACCTATTGGTACACTCCGTAAGGTACCTCCAATACAAAATTGTCAAGTTCTGACCCCGAAAGGGTCAGTATTTTATGAACTTGTAAATTTTATGAAATTTAAGCAAATTTCATAGTCGATTTGATCAACATTTAATCTGAAAACTATTTGAAAAAAAACATACCATATATAAAGCGAATTATAAAACCTGTGTGTAATTCCGAAGATCTCCGCAAACTATAGGCTGAGGGTATATATCTGTAGGCAACACGGACTGATAATTTTTTATTTGTTGTACAAACAGCATGTTTCAGTTTCAGAAGAAGTTTGAAAATCGGAATTTTTCATGGCACTTATATACAATTTAAGACCTAATTTGGTTGAAAAACGTGTCTAAAATAACGAAAAATATTGTTTATTTTGGGTCTGCCCCCAAAATATGGACCAATATTCATATACATTATCTTACATAAAATTACATCCATTTTTATTGAAAAATATTCCAAACCTTTAATTGAAATTTGAGAGGTACGTTTAAATGGGGGCTACCCTAAAAAGTGGACCCATAGTGATAATTTTAGATAAGATGATTTGCTACACTAGCAGATCTATAAATTCAAAACAATTCGTTTGGGACGATATATCCCACTTGCAGCACCAAAATTTTTAGATGCACTATCGAAGCTCTATCTTGAATATTATTTTTCCAGATTGTTTTGTTTTCGATATTCCCTCTGTTTTACTAATTTTTTAGTACGGGAGCATACTATATATATATATATATGACTTGAGCAAAAAATGTAATGTCCTTGTTGCTAACGGGTGGAGGTGGGCAACCGCTCGCTTTGCAGCTGACACCATAACTCATAATCAGTGCCACTTACTTGCAGTGTACACGAAATGTATATCCATGTATCGGGGACCTGTGTTCGTGGCATACAAATCAACCAAAAATTGTTTCGTTAAAAAGGAACACCAAACGTAAAAAAAGTTTGCAATATATCGAAATTTTGAGGATATGTTTATATGAATTCTATACCATAACGAGGGACCAAACATCCAAGGAGTAGTGGCAATGTATATGCAAAATTGAAATGTTCCATTTTTACCAAAGCCAGCACTATAATGATTTCAACACATGTCTAAATTGAGTCTCCAGTGCATATTTATTTCACAATTCAAAAGTCCGAAGACCACATTTAGGCAATATTTCGAGATTTGGCATAAGGAGTGACAAATTTAATATTCCCTCCTCCTTAGGGTGGAGGGTATACAAATTTAGGAAATATAATTAAAAATGTCCGACCCATCTCATTGATAATTGGTCAATGAATGAATTGTATTTCAATATGTTTCGAGTATTTCAGCGTGTATCGCTTCTATATAAGTGGCATCGAATTATGTGCAGTAATTCTTTGGCATTAATAATTAATTCATTAGTTAGTAATTGTTATTAAATATATGTGTGTATGCCCACCACTAGTGTATGTAATGACATTCCGGTCACACTTCTCAAAACAGTGACAAAAATAACATCCTTTTCGCAATCTTAATCTACTTACGTTTCTCTTCGGCAGAAAATCTCTGCTGACAAATCGATTCATCAAAATATCGTAGACCATTATAAAGCTTCACATACAGATTCTCCTTCGCCGATAGTTTGGACTTTGTTATTATTTTGTTTATCTTGATCAAAACATCTGCCACCGCATTACAGGTGTTAAGCATTGGTTTCTCTGTCACAAGCTGCACAATACCCTCTGGACTCATAATGTTGAGGCGGGCAAATTGTTGCAACAATTTATTTTCATCACAATGTCCAATTAATTGATTGTCATCGATTGACTTCTGTTCGGATAATAATTGTACATTGAAGAGCTTTTTGTAAAATATTATTCCTGATTGGAAGGGGGATGATTGTGATTCTTACCTTAACAATGCAATTGTCAGATTTCATTAATTTTTTGTTTATCCAATTACGCAAATAATTAAAATTGCTTGAGACAAGCAGCAGCATTAAAACGATTATCAGGAGACAAAGAATTGATGTTATCGCTCGCATTTAATGTTCAAAATAATTGCTTGCATTTATAGGATTTCATTTTTGTTTTTCAAATCTTTTGTTTAGAATGAATTATAAAAAAAAATTGAAATGTTGTGATTTTTTTAATTGTTTGTAAATGTATTAGGGCAATTCATTAACAAATAAATAACAAGAATTTTTATCATGGAAGAGGGTTTTAATATTTCAGACCAGCCGTAATTAATGATAATTATCTCGGTAAATGTTTGGTAAGATTGGACACCCAATGACAACGAAATAAATATTTTGAGGTGTTAAAAATTTAATAAACCCTCACCTAATAAAAGGTATTATAAAATTATATAGAGAACGCAAATTAGGATTTGTCTGTTTTCTGATGAACAATATAAAGATGCGTTAAGTTCGGTTGGTCCAAACTTCGTGGACATTAACACGATATTCTGAACCATACTCTGCCCATACTCCCAAAAATTTCCCAATTTTGGTCATACCATTATGTGGTTTCTATCATAAAAAGTGAATCCGTATTGAACATTTTTGGTAGAAAGATTTGCTATTCAATTTCAATTAAAAATAAAATTTTACAGTCAATTCGATTAAAAAACGTGTCCATACTCCCCAATATGGAACATTTTCAGTAGGAAAATTTGATATCCAATGATAATTGAAATTACCAATACCATTGCACAACTGAGGCGTGTCTATCTTTTATTTGGTCTTCTTTTCCTCATCCCGAAAATGTTGGTGCTCTTGCCTGGTGCATTAATTTAACTTTGGCGACTTTAGCAAAAAATCGCATTTCCTTCTTGCTAACAGGGGAGGTAGACAACCACTCTTTTGTCCATTGTATAATTTGCAGCTGACACCATAACTCATAATCAGTGCCACTTACTTGCAGTACACACGAAATGGATATCCATGTATCTGGGACCTGCGTTCGTTGCATACAATGCAACCAAAAAAATAAACTTCGTTCTATGTAGTGGCTGACACAAGAAAAGCCGCAGGTGGTAAAAAGGAACTCAAAAACGTGAAATTGAACTACATCGGGAGATTTTCAGACAAAATAATGTATACACTAAACGAATACCTATAATACAAACTTTAGATCTTTAGTGCCCAATTACATAAAATCGGAAAGAAATATAGGAGCTTTGGTACAATATTTACATAAAATCGGACGAAAATATATATGGAAGCTATATCTAAACCTGAACCGATTTTTCCTAATTTCAATAGCGTTCATTCCTGGGACAAATATATGGGCTGTGCCAAATTTTATTAAATTCAGATCATAAATGCAACCATTGCTTAAAATTTAACATGGACAGATAGGCATGGCATGCATTAATCGACTCGTTTCATTTTGCCTGTTACAAACATATGCGCAAAGACATAATACCCTTTACCACAGTGTGGTGAAGGATATAAGAATATTGACCGCCATTTTCGATCCATATTGAATCTTTACGATTTTTCTTGCAGAATCGTAATCAACATCTCCGAAACCCATATATGTAATATTTATTTCTGCAAAAAAATGTGATATCTAGCCCATAGTGCGTTATCTGTTTATACTTGTAAGTAATCGGCTACAATTTTATATCCACTACCGAAATACAATGTATGTAAATTCTGGATCACAGTATGTTGATGAATCTCGATAGACTTCGTAGAGAACTTATTGCAGGTATTTTGAAAGTCTATACCGTATTTCCAAAAACAAAAGGTTCAGAATATATTCTATACAACTTCTTGCATATTCTTGGCATTCTCAATTTCCATAGGGTTAAAAACCTACTCCAAACTGAAAACTAATATTCCCATCCCAAGCCATATTTTCAGCAGAAGGGGCTGGTACATGGGGTATTATTAGTTTGTGTGGCCTCAGGTGTTTGTAGCGCAATGAAATATTGGCTATGATCCGATATGTGTGTCTGTCCACACATCCATCCATAAAAAACTGTAATCAAAGATCACAGTTAAGGACCTCCATATAGATTTAGATCTCAAATGACCTTAATGGCGATTGTGAATCTGGATAACGAATAAGCATAACAGTTTTGAAAATGATCGGACAATATTTAGCAGGTCAAATGTACGATTATCGAGATTATTAATCAAGTCTTCACTCGGTGGATGAAATACGAAAGAGTTTTGATTGATCTATAATCTGATATAAATTTCAAAAATTTCCATATTCGGGTATAGGAGATGTATAAACATTTGTATAAGTTTGTACATATTCTAAATTGTTCAGTGTTAGTTGTGTAGTGCATAATATGTTCAGATTCGTCCGACTTTACTGCTCCGCTTATTGGTTTTAAATATAGGCTTATTGTTATTCATATTTTTCAAGTGTCAATGCCGGGGATCGGACAAATAAAAGCGATAAGTTTGTTCTGGTCGAATTTTTATACCCTCCACCATGCGGTGTACATTCTAAATTTCTTTAAAAAGTCGGGACCTTTATATGGAGGCTACTGTATTGTAGATCAGTTGTTGTATATACTCTTAGATAATTCAATACCAAATTACAGAGGCGAAAACTATCTAAGAAACTTTAACATAGCAAAAATTGGGGACTTTGTCGAAACATAGGCCTATAATGATAATCTTCTTTGCAAATGCACCAAGCCTCTGAAAAAAATAGAATTTTTTGTTAGAAAATACGGTTAAACTCCTCAAATTCTGAAAATTGTGCGATACCTCTATATGGGGCTATGTCGAAAGGTGGATCCATAATGATTATTTTCGGGTCAGATGTATGTAAGTCTTCATAAAACCCGAAATGACAAATTAGAGCATTTTTTGGTACGGCTAAAATGCCAAAAAATTTTATTTATATGAGAACTATACCTAAACGCATGACATTAGGTAGGTAGTCTCATGCAGTCATATGTTTCCATTTTTTTCATAAATTTGCCATTGACAGTATTCAGCTTTCAAAATTTAAATGAAAATATCTTCCTTCGAAATGTACGCATATCATGTGTTCAGTGGCAAAAATTGCTATATATTTTATATTTATGACTATTTTGAAGTTCCCTGCCTCTAAAACAACCATAACAACCATATTTAAATCTTGAGAGCATTGTTCAGCTTTAGAAAATATATTTTGTTTAATTTATTGAATCATGTTATTTAAAATTGATAAATGAGCATGGTATAATAATAGAAGGTAACAGCAAGTGTTGTTGTACAACAAACGATGCAACAACCACATGGAAATTTGTTGTTGTAAGTTATACTAGTGTCAACCTCATTTGACAGAAAAATTTAAACAAACAAACAAATTATCAACAAATTATACATTTTTATTTTGAAAATGTAATATTTTCGAATCCTCAAAATAAAATTTTAAAAACATGAATGAAAATCTATCAAATTTATATATCTATCGCTTCCACATCTTTGCGATTTATTCCATGAAGAAAGATTTGCTTTCTCAAACTTTCCCAGCAGGCAGATTGAGTAATTTGAATACGGGAGGACATTTAATAAAGAACAATTTCGAATTGTATGCGTTCCCAATTTTCCTGTTGGGTGCTTTTTAAAAACATAATTTGTCATATTCATATTGACACTAGTATTACTTTGGAATCAAATCAGCTGGGTTTTGCTGTTACCTTTTATAATTGCACCATGATAAATGAGTTTCAAATTAAAAAGGGTTGCCATCATCGAATTCTCAAATGAGACTACCTTCTGTAATTACGCCATGTCTAAACGTGTACCGATATATCTCATTTGTCGTACCAAACATCCTAGGAGTAATATCAATGTCAGTGCAAAATTACAGAGTTCTTTCCTAAATATTGCTACCTCTGTCGTGATTTAAACAGACAGGCATGGCTATATTTATACCCTTCACCAGAGTGTGGTACAGGGTATTATATCTTTGTGCACATGTTTGTAACAGGCAAAAATAATCGAGGTAGACCCATGGTTCCTTTTAAGAATATGCATAGAATCACTTTCTGAGTCGATTTATGCATGTCCGTCTATCCGTCCGTCCGTCCATGTATTTTTGTTAAGAAAGTACAGGTCGCATTTATGATCCGATTTGAATGAAATTTGGCACAGGTCACTTAATTGGCCGAAGGACGAACCCTATTGAAAATGGGAAAAATCGGTTCAGATTTAGATATAGTTCCCATATATATTTTCGTCCGATTTAAGGTAAATGGTGTACTAAAGTCCCTAAATATCTTTCGATTTGCACGAAATTTGGCACAGAGTACTGAATTAGGTCTAGAATGATGTGTGCCAAGTTTCGAGAAAATCGGTTCAGATTTAGATATAGCTCCCATATATAGTTTCGTCCGATTTAAGGTAAATGGTGCACCAAAGTCCCTATATATCTTTCGATTTGCACGAAATTTGGCACAGAGTACTGATGTGTGCTAAGTTTCGAGAAAATCTGGTCAGATTTATATATAGCTCCCATATATATTTTCGTCCGATCTAAGGTAAATGGGGCTCCAAAGTGCCTATATATTTCGATTTGCACGAAATTTGGCATAGAGTACTGAATTAGGTCCAGAATGATGCAAGTTTCCTTGAAATCGGTTCAGATTAGCTTCGATATATAATTTCGACCTATTCATGTTGACTGTACACCAAATTTTCAATGGGTGCCTGATTGATACACTTTAAACAGTGTGTGTGCTTTAAATCTATTTACAAAATTTAGAATAGGTTGCAGAATGGCATGTGTTGGAATTGATGTTAGTCGGTTTACTTATAGATAAAGATCGCATATTTAAGTTCGTTCAATTTCATGTCAATGTTCCTTAGAAAAGGCGACGTCTGTTAGGATACATATGTAGACTATCCCCAAAGTGGTGAAGGGTATCATATAGTCGGCCCATTCCGACTTTACTAGTTTCCTTACTTTTTTATTTTTATCA